AAATTTTTTGGGGGCAAGAGTTCTAGTTAGCCACTGGTAAAAATGTTGTAGAAAAATTGTAAAAATTGTATAATATGTTTAAAGCTAATCCCATTGTACTCAGCAAATCATGGGTGATTTACCCAAGGAAAGAATTACAGCTAATGTTACATTTAATGTACTGGAGTTGACCTCTGTGGCCCATTCTTAATTAAGTACATAAACCAGAGAAAAGGAATATATCAGAAAGTTTATGTGTGTATATTCATTTGTATGGTTACTAAGGCCATTCATTTAGATCTGATAACAAACCTAACATCTGAAACATTAATAGCTACCTTGAAACGTTTCTTTGCACGAAAGAGGTAAAAGTTTAACACTATTTAGTGATAACGCTACTAATTTTGTAGGTGCAAATGCAGAATTAAAGAGGTTAAATAAACTAGTGAACGAACAAGATTAGCTTTCAGCTGGTTATTTGAGCTCTGAGAATATCGAATGGAAATTTCTTCCTCCCAAAGCACCCAATTTTGGCGGCCTGTGGAAGGCTGGAGTTAAATTTTTTAAGAGCCACTTCAAACGTGTCGTAGGTAATGCAAAATTGACCTTTGAACAATTTTTAACAGTTATGATTCAGATTGAGGGAATTTTAAATTCCCAACCATTGACACCCTTGTCTTCGGACATTGATGATTTAGAAGTTCTACCACCTGGGCACTTTTTAATTGGTAGAGCAATTAATTCGATTCCTGAGCCAGATATCACGGAAGTTAACATTAACAGGTTAAAATTGTGGCAACAGATCACAAGATTAGCACAAATTATCTGGAAAAAATGGAACTCCAATTATTTAAGTCATTTACAGAATCGATCTACATGGCAAAGCTCTAAAAGGTCTTATGGTAAAGATGGAAAGGTTCGCGTGTGCAATGTAGAAACTCAAACTGGAACTTTCAAACGACCAATTACCAAATTATGTATCTTACCAATACAAAAATGAGTATTGTCTTTATCGTTTTAATGCAGTATTGAATGTGCTTCACATAAAATATCATTATGTAACTGAAATGTTATATTGTATTGCTTTTGAGTTGTACGCTAATGTATATGGTAAATGTCTAATTATAATAATGATTTTTATGTAATAGTACGTACTTATTCAAAATTGTTTATAATATACTTATTTAATTTTTTATACTGTATCTTATTTACAATAGTTGAATGCTACGCATTGCAGTGCAGGGCGGCATGTTCGCGCCTGCGCATCTGTAATGTTATGATCAGACGAGTTTGAGAATTGCCATGGACGGTGTACGAGGGCTGGTCACAGCTATGAGTTAATGAGTGATTGTAATTAATTATGAGAATTAATAAAGTAAGAACCAGCGAATTTATTATAGTGTTATTTGGGATAAGACCCAAGCAGAAGACTTTCTAAGCAATTAACGGATAGTTTAATAAAGGATAAAATCGTTTGCGGTATTAAAGATGACGTAGTGAGAGCAAGATTGTTACATGAAACAGAATTAACATTAGAAAAAGTTTTTGATATATGCAGATCTGCTGAAAAAGTGCACATCAATGAAAATATAAAAGATGAGGAAACGCTGTAACTTAGTAAAAAAGAAACAGTAAACATAATAAGAATACCTACAAAGAGATAATACCGAGAAACAAAGACAAAAGTTTGTTTAAATGTGGAACATCTCATGAGTATCGAAAGTGTCCAGATATGGAAAAATATGTCATAAGTGTAAAAAGGCAAATCATTCGCGAATCAGTGTAAAGATATAATAAAATGAAGCAGTCAAGGTAAACAAAAAAGATAAGCAAAATTAAATTAACAAAATCATGACTCTGAGAAGAATTGAATTTATGTCGGCACATTAACTTAATTCAGATATAAGGAAGAGAAATGACGTTGACGTTAATATAAATAAAGAAACTAAATTTGCAGTTTAGATACTGGAGCAATGTGCATGTTATTTCTAAAGCAAAGTGAATTGCTAAATGTTCCTATACAGAAGTCTGAAATTAAAAGATTAGTTACATTCTCTGGGAATAAAATAAATACTTTAGGAAAAGTAGTACTTAATTGACAATATGGAAAAAATAATTATGTTGTGTAATTCCAAGTTATTGACAAAGTACCTTCTGTATTAGGATTAAAATCATGTTTGCGACTAGGTTCGATTCAAAAAGTAATGTCTGTTTACACTGAAGACTTACTGGAGGAATACAGAGATATATTTGAAGGCTTAGGTTGTTTGAATGGAGAATATAAAACCCAGTTAAAACAAGATGCAACACCAGTAATTCACCCTCCAAGAAAAATATCCATAGCTATACGAGATAAAGGAAGAAAGAATTACAAAGAATGGAAAATTTAAATGTAAGAGGAAGTAAGAGAACCAACTGAATGGGTAAATTCAATGGTCACAGTTGTCAAACCTAACAAAATAAGAATATGATTAGATCCTAGAGATTTAAATAAAGCTATAAAACGAGAACATTATTCTACGTTAACCATTGACAAACGCAAAAATATTTTCTGTTTTAGATGCTAATAGTGCTTTTTGGCAAGTCCAGCTTGACGAAGAAAGTAGTAATTCGTGTACATTCAATACACCTTTTGGCAGATACAAATTTAAAAGATTACCTTTTGGCATATGTTCAGCTCCAGAAATTTGCCAAAGAAAATTAAGCCAAATAATAGATCTAGAAGGCGTTGAATGTATTATACAATCAAAAGTCGTTAATTCGGACACCCATAATCCGGACCTCAAAGTTACAAACTTTCTGCGCATGCGCGTAAGACCTTTACGGCTGCGCATAATACGTTTACGCATGCGCGTTTAATATATAACGGACGGTATAAGCTAAAATAATACGTTTACGCATGCGCGTTTAATGTATAACGGACGGTATAAGTTAATGTTGCAGATTGCGTTGTTCCTTAATCCCAAAGGACGTAAAAAGCGAAAGTATGTTTCGATGTCCATCAAACAAAAAGTGGATAATTGCTGCAAAAAATGGATAAAGGCATATCCTCATTCCGAAATCTGTTTATCAATTTCACGCTGCTCTGCTGGGGGGGGGAACGCCGTGGCGCTCCGTGAATTGGAAGTTGATCTGTCAGGGCAGATGTTTTTATTTTATTTGGCTTATAATTCCTTACTAAATGTAGTATTTCATCTCGACGTACTCCGTCTTTGATATGATTTAAATCAAATTCCTCGTCATTATAATTCGCTTCCGATAGTGAAGAAAGTGACACAGAGGTAATTGAAAACGAAAAAATTTCGATTGACAAATTAGTCGGTATTCTCGACACAGCAATTATAGGACTTGAACAGCGGAACTTTGTAACTGAACAAGAAATTAGTCTGTTTATAGAATAAAAAAGAGAAGTATTATCACATAAAACGAAGCACTAAACAACTTACATGAAAGAAATGTTTAAAAAGTAAACAAATAAATATTAAGCTTTTTTTTTTTTTTTTTTGTAAATTTTAATACATTTTAGATCATTATTGTTCTTTATTCATAAATTACGGTTTATATTTTAATTTTAATTAATTTTGCATGCCATCTTACCAGATTTAAACTGATGATCTATAATCCGGAATCGCCGAAGTCCCGACGAGTCCGGATTAACGCCTTTTGACTGTAGATGATATCTTAATATGGAGATCTAATGAAAAGGAACATGAGCTACGACTTAAAAAAGTATTCCAGAGAGCCCAAGAAAATAATTTGAAGTTCAATAAGGCTAAATGTGAAATAAAAGTTAATTGTGTGAATTATATAGGGCGTGAGTTAAGTGAAAATGGACTGAAACCTGATTTTTCTAAAGTGGAAGCATTTGTTAAAATGCCAGAACCTACAGACGTGCCTTCGCTACAAAGATTTTTGAGAATGATTAATTATTTAGCCAAATTTATTCCTAACTTAACTACTATTACTGCACCATTAAGGCAGTTACTTGAGAAAAATGTTCTCTGGCACTGGGCTGAAAAACATCAAAAAGCTTTCGAAACACTTAAAGAATTGGTTGCAAAAGCACCCGTATTAAAATTCTATGATGTTAATAAGGATGTAACTCTTTCAGTAGATGCAAGTTCTGAAGGATTAGGTGCTGTTTTACTACAAGAAAATCAACCAATTGCTTATGCATCCAGAGTTCTCACGAAAAGTCACAAAAATTATGCTCAGATAGAAAAAGAGCTTTTAGCTGTTACTTTTGGATGTTCTAAATTTCATTAATATATATATGGCAAGCATATTACAGTTGAAACTGATCATCTACCATTAGAAAGCATAACTAAGAAACCTCTTTTTAAAGCACCACAGCGATTGCAAAGAATGCTGTTAAATTTACAAAAATATGATCTAGATGTACGATACAAAAAGGGAAAAGACTTATTAACAGCAGATACTTTGTGTGTGTGTGTGTGTGATTATGGCAAAGCCTCGAGGGCTATCTGCCTAAGAGGAGTGATGCCTTCGTGGAGGACTTTTCTAAGGGAAACTGGCTCGTATACACGTTACACATGGGGAAAACCACGAAAACCCATGCACCAGCCCGTTAGCGGGATTCGAACCTCGCACCAAACTACCAGTGTTCAGCGACTTTACCGCTCGGCCGCAAATACTTTGAGTAGAGCATATTTGAATACAACAGAAGAAGATAAGGATGAAGATACAGAAATTTGTACGCTGATTCTAGCATCTAATGACAAAATTTATGAACCGAAGAAAGAAAGTGAATGTGATGCTACACTACAGTGCTTAAAGAAATATACTCTGAGAGGTTGGCCAGAAAGGAAACATAAGGTAGAACCTCAAGTCAAAGTATTTTGAGACTACAGAGATGAGTTGACATTGGAACATGACTTATTTTTCAAAGGAGGAAGGGTAATTATTCCTTAATCTATGCAAAAAAAGATTAAATTTAATTCATGAGGGTCATTTTGGTATAGAAAAATGTAAGAAATGAGCTAGAGTTGTTTTGGCCACTTATGAACAAGCAGATAGAAGATAAAATTTCAAAATGTCCTATGTGTAATGAAAACCAGAATAAAAACATAAGAGAGCCTATGATACCAAATGAAGTTCCCAATTTACCTTGGTATAAAGTTGCAACAGATTTATTTGAGATTATTGATTATAGATTACTAATCCAACTTTTTTGGAATCTCCTCACTACCACATACTCGAAGTCAGACAGTGATCAGTTACATGAAATCTCATTTTGCAAGATACGGTATACCATTGATAGTGATATCTGATAATGGATCTCAGTTTGAAAGTAAAGAATTTGCAAAGAAATACCAATTTAAACATATAACAAGCAGTCCATGCCATCCACAGTTGAACGGATTAGCAGAACGTTCAGTACAAACGGCCAAGAAATTGTTAAAGAAAGCTCAAGCAGACCATGCTGATCCTTATTTAGCATTGTTAGCTCATAGGAATACTCCAACTAATGAGATGCTAGGATCACCAGCTCAACGACTTACGAGTAGAAGAACAAAAACGATTCTTCCAACATCTGAAGAATTACTTAAACCTCAAGTTGTGAAAAACGTAAAAGAAAAAATCAACCAAGAAAGAACTAATATGTCATATTATGATCGTCATACAAAACCATTACCATCGCTTCGCTGGAAACCAGCCGTTGTAGAAGTATATAAGACACATAGATCATATATACTGAGATCAGGTGGATCAGTATTGAGAAGAAATAGAAAAGACATTAGAGAAAACAGTTCAGCTGTTGAAAGAGAATATCAGAGGAACAGAACAAGAAGTTAATGCACAGAAAACATATATAAAAGGATATGATTCCAGATATTCTCAAGGGCAAAGTTTAGAAGAACAACTACCAAATTCCGCTAACTCGGAAACAAGGGATGATGAGCAAAGAACTAGAAGTGGGAGAGTGATTAGAAAGCCGGCCAGGTTTTTGGATTGATTTCAGACTCTTAAAAAAATGCTTTTGAGCTCTTTAAAAAAACGGAAGATGTAATATTTTAATAATTTGTAAATGGCAACATTTAATATTTAGTAACTTGTAATTATCAACACTTTGGATACAGATATGAAAATAGAACTATGCTGGTGTTGCAGGTCTCTGTAATATTATACATTCTATTTTTATGAATAAATAATTTCTAAAAAACTAAAAGTGCATCCTCATTATTCTATAATTACAAAGTATGTTAAAAAGAAATTTAATGTGAACAATTACTATATACTTTTAGGTGAGGTAAAAACAGACTATAAACAGATTGCAGTTTATAATAAAAGTCAATATTTTTTAAAAACTGGAACAGCTTGTGATGATGGTTTTCTCCTATTAAGTTTTTTAAATCTAATTTTTAAACACTTAAAATATTTTTGGCGAAAATAATTAAAACTATGACGTTCTAATAAATATGGCGGACTGTCACATCTGCATTACAGTTTGCACAATAGGGAATCTTCTCGCTTTTCAGCAGATATTCGCGAGTTAATTGACAATGACCTATTCTCAACCAGGTTAAGATTACTTGTTCAATTTTATGTGCCGTAAATGGCCAGCAGTCAATTGTGTGTTTAACATTTCTCAGCTTGTTTGTTTGGCCATCCAAATGCCTCTGTCATTTATTAAAAATTTTACGTTTGATCGTCTTCCTGATATCTGCAAGTGGAAACAGAGAATTAGACATTGTAGTAGCAGTTTTAGCTGTAATGTCCGTTAGTTAATTCCCTTTTATGCCAGCGTGGCCAGGGATCCTGAAATAGAGAATCTGATATACCTGACATTTCAGTCTGATTAAGCTTCAGAATTCTGATAATAATGAAATGTGAATTATACGTAGGCTCTTTGAATGATGTTAGGACACTCGAGGAATCTATATAGATAATGAAATTCATGTAACTCTGTTTTGACAGAAACGTGTAAGCCTGATAAACTGCAGTAAGTTTAGAGGTAAAAACGGAGTAAGCTGGATGTAATCGAAGCCCCGCAATTGTTTTTTCTACTACAAAGACTGCATCAACGTGATCTTGGGATTTTGATCCATCTGTATAGAGGGACATAATTTCTATATTTACATCTATGTCCTGCATGTAAATGACATCACTCGTACTAGATTTATCCCTGTAGTGAAAGGTATCAAGAAACTGAATTTTCCTCCCATGGTGGAATCTCAATAGGATTCTCCAACTGTGTACACTCAAACCTGTTTTTGTGCAGTGGATAAGGACTGCTTAAAAAAAGAACTAATAAAAAAAAATCGCACGAAACTTCACGAGTACCTGTAAAAAATAGTTTTTGCAAAACAATTTAAAATTATTTTTTTATGCGGTGAATAGGGACGGCATAACAAAAGTCTCACGTAGAAAATAACTCGAAACATTACGAAATAACTAGGAATTGCTTTCTTAAACGAAATCAAAGAATGAGATTTGGCAGCTACTTGGAATCTTGCCAAACCTTTTAGAATCTGATTTATTAAATGCACATGGGAACATTTTAAAATATTTTGCACTTACAAAACTTTTCGAAACATTTAACCATTATCCTTCATAGTCTGACAATATGCGAACTTTCTTGTGCTAATCTAGTTCAAAACTGTTTTCATCACTTGAAGATACTACTTCGCACTAGTTTAGATTTAATTTTTTTCAGTAACCATGTAGTCGGTGATCAGTTTTTGCAATGATTGTTGTTTTCTTGATGCTTGTATATGTTTTGGTGACCAGATATACATGATTGAAGCTCCTTTTTTTATCGATAACTTCGTCCGTTATGTTCCAATATGATTAAATTTTTCCTATACCGCACAAAAAATTCGCATAAAAACAGGTTTGAGTATATATATTATACTGTTCTAGCATGGTGCCAGCTCTTAAACCAAACGATGGAATACATGACGGGCATGCCTGATGTAAACGAGACAAAGAAAGTAAATGTAAACAGATGGGATTCTGGATCTGTGACACAATTTTAAAATAGTGTTTAAGGTAAAGATGGTCACATGTTAAATGCAGAGAAGTACGGTAGCTTTCTAAATACAGACTCTCCACTAGAGAGGAGCTAAAGGCACCAGTGCATGGTAGTGTACCAGATATTTCAGTTTGGCTGCACAGAAGGCCTTAACGACCCATAAATAACTGATCCGTAGTCAAGTTTTGAACAGATAAGGGCTCTCTATGTAAGAAGCATTGAGCTTCGACCGGCTTCCCAGGAAGTATTTGACATGTTTTCCGTGAGCTCTGTGCGCTTTATTCACATATACATTCAGAAGATACTGCATACATGATACACATGCGGAAAACGACGAAAACACCCATGCAGCCAGTGCATTTGCTGTCATTCAAAAGTTGGACCGAACTACCAGTGTTCAGGGATTTTGCGCGAGCTGTGCTCGCTGTATCCACACACGTTACGCATGCAAAAAATCACTAAAACTCCCATGCAGCCAGCCCATTCGCCGGGATTCCAAACCCGCTTTATACCCGTATGCATCCACAGTACACATGCAGAAAATCATAAAAACACCCATGCAGCTACCCTGTTTGAAGAGATTCGAAAGTTGGCCCCAACTACCAGTGTTAAGCGATTTTACTGCTCAGCCGCTAATGGACTATTTTACAAAGTGTAATCGAAAATATTTTCGAGTATGATATTCAAACAGTAGATTCGTTATTAAAATTCCTTTTGATAACCTTCAACATAATCACACTCAAAATTGCATCAATATATATATATTAATGTATTTAATAATTCAAAATTATTTATAATAAGAAAACTTTCCTTATAGCATGTCCAAGGAACACAAATTCAATTTAAAACCCTTAACAAAAAAATTTTTTAGTCAGAATTTAAATTTTTATTGTTTTCTGCAATTAAAATTTAATTTAATATTAGCTTTCTACGAATAGTGAACATTTGTTAAATTCAAAATTACAACAATACATATACATTGACTACCAATAAGTATTTGGACACCTGTGATAGAAACGAAAAACTAACTTTATTCAAAATCAATAGTTGGTAGAGCCTCCGAAGGTAATTACAGCATGGACCCCGGGGCATACTTCCACAAAATCTTTGTATGACAGCTAGTGGTATTTTCTTCCACTTGGGAGAAGATAGAAGTTCCTCACTGATTTTGCACAGGTAGTGCACCTCTGAATTCGGGGATGCAACTCGTCCCACAGGTTCTTGATAGGGTTCAGGTCTGGACTCTGGGCAGGCCAGTCCATTGGATGAACTCCATTGGCACCATACCAAGCCTCGGTTAACGTCGAAACATGACAACTGGCATTGTCGTCTTGAAAGTAACAGGGGTTCAACCCATAAACTGCCACAACGTAGGAAGCACATTGTCATCCAAAATAGTGCAGTAGGCATCGGAGTTGAGCTTACCATGAATGGGAACCAAGGGTCCCAGCCCATACCAGGAAAAACACCCCCAGACCATAATTCCACCTCCGCCGAACTTGACTGTTGGCACAATGCATTCTGGCAGGAGACGTTCTCTAGGTAGATGCCAGACCCAGACTCTGCCATCTGAACGGTAAAGGGTGAATCTTGATTCATCACTCCAAAGAACCCGTTTCCACTGATCTACAGTCCAATTTCGATGTGCTTTGCACCACATTAACCTAGCAGCGCGGTTGGACTTTGTGATCAAAGGCTTATGGACGGCAGCACAACCATGAAAACCTAGCAGATGTGCTTCTTTATGGATGGTATTCAATGAAACAATACTCCCAGATGCCTGTTGAAACTCCTCGTGGATGAGGGCCATCAGTTGGGTGCGGTTCTTCCAAATTTCTCTGGACAGCACTCGTCAGTCTCTATCTCCCAGTTTTCTTGGTCTGCCGACTCGGGGCACATTCCGACAATCACCGCTCACCTTCCACTTCTTAATCACATAGGCCACTGTCGATTTTGGGTACTTCAGATCGCTAGATACGTCCCTTAATGATCAGCCACATTTGTGATACCCGATAATTATACCTTTCTCGAAATCAGAGAGCTCCGAACTGCGAGGTATCTTGCATGCGACTAAAGCCAATGCTGTTTCCTAAACGATATATACCGGCGGAATCCGTGGCGTACCTTAGGACCACAGATATCGTCATTTCCATAGGTGTCCAAATACTTATTGGTAGTCAGAATGAGTGCACAAATTAATGCTTTCAGAATTTTTAATTAATATCTCGGCCGATTAAAGTCGTACGAAGATGAGACCGGTATCGATGGATTCGTAGAATTTTTTGGAATTGGGGGGGGGATACGTGTTTTGGATTTCAATTCGATGCTGTTCTCAAGATATTCGAGAAAAAAGAATTTGGCACGTAGCCAATTCCCTACTATAGGGAAAACCCGAGATAGTGCAAAGCGTAATTAAAAAATAAGTTATTTTTTAATTAATATCTCTACTAATTAAAGTTGCATGAACATGCCAATGGTCAAAGTGGTGAGCCACGGATCCGACAACTCCAACGGTGTGCTTCACTAAGCCCGGGACCCAGCCGTTCCGGAGGAGATGTTACAAACGCACAGACAGACAGACGTGCACAACTAGCTTGCTAAACTGTCTGCAAGGAAGTACATGATCTATCAAACTAAATCTGTAAGCACTTGAATGCTGTTGAATGTGAATTGTATACAATTTACAGGGTTCTTAAGCAGTGTTTAAAAAATCCATTTTTCATCAGAAATTTTTTTGTATAAGTTTTGAGAATACTGACAGACTAAAATTTCATAAGAAAACAATTTTCTAATAAAATTATTTATTATAGTAAATTGTGTTAACAACATTATAATACATAAAAGCTCATGCTTTTCAGTCATATTTACAAAATGGAGTTTTAAAGGTTTCAGTAATTTGAGCATATACATATCTTCACTTTATTTGTAGACAATAACTGCTGCCCTTCGTGAACCAGATATTTCACTCGCACAATTTCTATATAAATATATCGAATAAGTAATCATCAATGCACAATAAATTAGCAGACACTGCTCAAATAAAATGCAACATTTAAAACATATATTTTCAATAACTAAAAGTCAGTAGATTCTAGGTAGTTCAATGAACACTTTACACATGAGGCTTGTTCTAGAATTAGTCACTGTCACTCTTTAAAGTGAGCTCGTCCAACTGCACTGCATTTGTTTATTTTTAAGCTGTATGCATACATATGTAATTTCATCTTCCGCTACTTCACTTAGACATGTTTAACCTGTGTCATATCTCTGTATAAATGTCACACATCCCACTTTTAAAGTCTTAAAGACTCTTTTTCAATTGACAGCAATGCCACCAGCTTCACTTTATGGATAGCTTATACCACATACCGAGGCTTCTAATTCAGTGAATTTTATGTCCACCATTTTGTTGAGAATGTAAATTCTTTACAGATGATGAAAGAACTTCATTATTATTTAGTCCATTGACATAGACACCTTGGTTACTTCTGCGGAATTTGGGATGGCCAGGTGGGTATTTAAGGCTGAAGATCCATACATCCAAAGCCTCTCGTAAATCCCAGCTAATGTAGGTGAAATAACGAGCAACATCCATTAAGTTATAAACCTATCAAAAAGTGATTTAAGAATTAAAATTTTATACTCACATACAAAATATTGCAGCAGAAATTATTTGCACAGATTAGGTATAAAAGATGAAAGTGATTTTAAACGATTTAAATGCAAACAAATTAAAAGGCATAACAGTAGATATGGAGCCTATTCAGATATCCATCAAACAGCAATTTAAAAATTTTAAAGAAATACATATAATAAAAATTTGCTGATTTAACATAGCAAAATGAATTTTTCAAAAATCGGGGAAACAGTTACTGTTTACCTTTACCTCCTCTCCCCCCCCAAAAAAATAATGAAGCTACTAAGATCCAAGGAACACATGAAAACAAAGAATTAAAATTTTCTATTTTAGATTGCTTAAAACATTTAGTAAAAGCTATAGCAAATGCTCTTTGTCTTGGATACTATGCCTGGAAATCATTTTTGAAAATTTATAACAAATATTTTACAAATGTTTAAAATTTAACAAGAAAATCCGATTTCTGAGAAAATGCATTAAGAAGTATTTGAACTTACTAAACCACATAATAGTGCAGTAGATGGTGGCAACATGTAAACAGACGGTAAATAAGTATTTAGACACAACAGTAAAGGAGCTACTAGACTACTATCCCAGAGATCCATATCTGCATAAGTTACATTTGTTATCTGCAAAAGAAAACATTAAATAAAAACTATGCAAAAGTTCACATTCAATTTGTATGAAAAAAATTGCAAATACAAACTAGAAACTTATTATAAATCATTTCTTGTGTGATATTTACTTAGTAAACTGTTATAATCAGTTTGAACTATTATATAGATTCCAGAAGTTTAATTATCATATGATAACAGAAGGTTATACTGCAATTCAGTGGGGGTTTAAATAAAATAACATAATGTTCATTTTCATGCAAATTATATATTAACACTTGCTTCCAAGTTCACAAATATATAACAGTCTCAAAGACCAATTAAACATGTTAACCACCAAGCCTATCATCATCAAAAGACTAGTATTGATGGATGTAGTATTGACACATTTATTGTGATTACATAATATATATTTATGTTAATTATTGACCACATGTACTAAGCACGAGTTAACCAGCAGTATAAGTAATTCCACTTAGATCTTTGGTATGTGAATAAAGTGGAATTTTATACTGGCTTATGAAACATTATATATAATTTTTCCATATATCTTCAGTGAAATGCGCTCTATCTTCTATCACTCTATCTTCAGTGAAATGCGCATTCAGTGCAGTAACAACTTTAATACCTAAAATTGAAATATCTTGAAGTCAACTAAGGAATATTAACTAAACTGGAGTCAAGTATCAATAATAATGCTCATCGTTCTCATTTAAACTGATTTGTTAACAGTTTGTATATTCTTTCATTAAATGACTATGTATTTACTCTTAATTTCATTAATATATAAATAACACAACCTTAGCGTGACTTTCATTTTGTTGCATATTTTTTCCTAAAATACAGATATATTTTCCAAGGGAAGATTCTGAATATTCAATGTTTTTTTTAGAAGTGAGAGCAAACCCAAAATATTGAGAAATACTGCTTCAGACTGATACAATATTGATTGTAGCTTGTAAATGAAATAAAACTGTTTTGAAAGCTAGCTACGTGGTAAAATATATTGACTACATGAAAATGCTTGGCACACAATAACAAACTATGCCTAAGCAGCATGACAGCATATATGTCTACATACGTTGTAGGCTTCAAAAGTTCCCAGACCGAGTCCATAATATAAAATTTTTTGCAGTAGTGCAACTACGATAACAGTTTTGTGTTATTATGTTCTCCCCCTGTTCTTAAAAGTGGTTTGCACAACATTTTTTGTAGGCAGGTGCATTTAGTACAGCACGTGTACAGAAGTGAAATGTTATCGAAAATGCACGCTTTTGAGTGACATCATTTCAGAAAAGGTAGGGAAAGTACCGAAGACGATGAACACCATGGCCGTCCTGTGACTTCACGCACTGATGAAAACATCAAAAAAGTGTCTGTGGGGGGGGGAAGGGTACGTGTGAAGAGGCAGTAAACAATTTGCCAAATAGCAGAATCAATCGAGATATCAGAGGCCATATGTCCGCAGATACTCACTAAGGATCTTAATATGCATAGGGTGTGTCAACATATTTCCCTACATCTTAAACGTAGACCAAAAGGAAATTTGAATGGAAATGGCACAAGACTTAGGCTGTTGACAAAGATTCTTCCCTAATTGGCAGAATTGTTACTGGAGATGAGAAATGGTGTTTTTCGTACAACCCGCAAACCAAGAGAGCATCGGCAGTGTGGAAATCACCACAATCTCCATGGAAGCAGGAATTCTGCCAAGATCACTCTAAAGGAAAGGTCATACTAGAGGTATTCTTTGATATCCAGGCCATTGTGCATCTGGAATTTATCCCTGAAGGATGCATTGTAAACAAAGAACTCTATGTCAAAATACTGAGTCATTTGCACGAGTCAATTCGGAAGAAGATACCAAAAATGTAGGCTGAGCAGTCACAGCTGCTGTTGCATGACAATACTCCAGCTCACCGATTCCTACTCATCAACGACTTTCAAGTGAAAACAAAAACTGTTTTGCCTCATCCTCCTTACTCACCTGATCTTGCACCCTGCAATTTCTTCCTATTTTCTGAACTGGCAAAATGCTTGCAGGGTCATCGATTTCAATCTTCAGATGAGTTAAATGTGCATCGCAGGCTGAATTAAAGGACATGGCCAAAAATGGATTCCAGACATGCTTCGATGAAATTCACAAGTGCTGGCAAAAGTGTATTGTTGCACAAGGGTCTTATTTCGAAGGAGGATATGTTTAATTCATACTATTTTTTACTCAGTCTGGGAACTTTTGAATCCTACCTTGTATGTTTTCCAATTCAAAATACTTTTAGAACACCGAAAATATTTTTAGACAATAAGTTTATAAATTGAGAATAAAAGCAATTTGATAAACATTACAATATGAAAGAAAATCATTTTATACAAATGTTCAATTTGCAATACATATTAAATATTTCTAAAAATTTCTACTTTGACAGTAGCAAGTACCAGAGCCGTAGCTAGGGTTTTCAGCAACCTTTGATAGCTGAAGATTTTGTGGCCACCTTCTGTGTGCCAAGAATGGGAAAACATTTCATTCTAAACTTTTGCAACATCAATTTGGCACCTTCAGAACTTTAAAGAAAAATGTTATGCATGTTAAAAAATATAGAAGTAATAATACTCACCACAAGCTTCACAGTTAGCTTTGCATATGCAAAACCAAATGCAATAACAAAAAGAGACGGATTTGGATCAAATAATCCAGCATTGTATGCTTGTGCAGCAAAAAAAGTTAGCATAGATACCGGAATGAGTGGATTCCATATCTGTGGAGTCTGAAAAATATTTTAAATAGATTTATATTAAAGTTTTCAGGCTAATTTATATTGATTATACTTAATATTTTAAAAATTAAACTGAAAACATATGCACTGAAACTGATTTTTTTAAATACTTTAAAGGTTTCCATAAGTAATTATCCTATTAATATTTTCATGAGAATATGACAAAGAATTTAAATATTGAGAAACACTGATATAGAAGAGAAGACACAACATTCACAAGCAATAATAGTAGCAAAAGTTATGTAAACTATGTATATGATTAATCTGGATTTGAAAATCAAATTCATTCAGATCCTATTCTTTCTGGTTCAAGTAACATTATACTAATTCAACAATGCATATATATGTGATATTTTATACACATGTACGTAATATTTGATTATTGCAAAACTTGGAATGCTAAACACAACTCAATTTCTATATATGCAGTTTACATTTTAGATAATAGAAAAAAGTTTATTGAAGAGACATTACTTTCCTTGCAAAACTTTTTTTTTGTCCTTTTTATTAATGTTTTGTGTATTAACTTTATTAACTATTATGCTGGCACCACATAAAATTTAAAAGCAAAATCATAAAATACTTAAAAACAGTATATCTTTAGAATTTTCAATAGAGTCTCATATGCTGGAGATAAAAACACTTTATACAATATTCAAAATTTGGTCTTCCAGGTAACATGTTCAGGTGAACTATGCCATTCAAAATTTGATGGCTCTAGTTACAGTAGTTTTTTCACAGTGGGAAGAAAACACATGCTGATTCTTCATTATTTAATTTCTTTTAACTAATACAGGGTGATAATATTTGGTGGCAACAACTCAAAAACTGTTAGCCATTTGTAGCGGTTTAACACAAAATCCCATTTCAAGATATTTGTAATTTGGACTAAAAAAGGTCGATTTTAACATATCATAGACAAAAATGAAACTTCATTTTATTAATTTTGTAAGCAAAAAATGCAAGTAATACATTAAAAATGAATGACAATAATCTAACATCTATAAATTTTACAAGTAAAAACTACTACAAATAATGAGTTCAATTTTTATTCATTAAAATTTTTTTCTGGTGTGATAAAATTTAAAGAATTTTCCCTTATAAAGGCAACTGCATGTCAGCTTTATCAACAATTCACATATTTTTGGTAGAGTTAAACCATGTAGTCTGGTTTTACAATTATTTCATTTTCCCAATGATTTAAGTTTCCACTGTTCACTAATCTTCCTTGATGAAATGTGGTGATAAAATGCCAATCTTTCACTTTCCAATTCAAGGCCAAATTTTTCCTAAACATTTTCAATTTTATTTCACTGTGCTTTAGTTTGCAAGTCTAGAGAAATGTTTTCTTTTTTTTTTAAATTGTACCATATAATCCTATACCATTCTGGTTGAAATGGATTGCTCACTTTAGACTGGTGCACCAATCATTGGTATACAAAATAGGATTTTCTCCTTTAATAGTGTTCCACAAGTTTTTTTTTCACAACAGAAGCAGCAACTCCATTTGAATCATTTTGTGGCACATCTCATAAAACCAGTGTAAACTAAAACTTTAAAAATAATTCCAGTTCAACATTCACAAAACAAATATAATTTTAGCCCAAATCGATGTCATTTTGATGAGATACTGCTTGAAGTGTAGTTTCTCTTGAACAGTGATTCATAATTTTTGAAATGGTACAAAAAATACTGAGGATTTGTTATTTAAATTCATTTCCACAGTCTATCATCTCCAGGGGTCTGTCTCGGATTGATAAGTCTGTCCTTAATGCATTTTTCAATCAATATTCAGAAATTTTAAACTCTTTAAAAAACTTAAGGCATTCGTAAAGCCAAAATTGAACGCATTCCATCCAATCTTGTGTTTTCCTACCTTTCTGGCTCAGATAAAATAGCCATAGTATCAGTTTCATTCACAATTATTTGCACTAGTTCTATGTTGGAAAGAAACTCTTAAAATATTCATGTTCTTCAGTACCATAAATAATTAATCAACATTTAAATTTGCATCATCAAAATTACAAATTTCAAGTTGAAACATGTCCCCGCCATAAAAAAATTATGTCAATTTCCCTACCATTATTGCTAAATTTGCTAGCAGATCTTCCTTTGGTTATTTCTTCTATGCTGGATATACTTTCTTCATCACTTTTGAAGTCACCAATGGACAGATTATTTCTACTCATTACCCTCCACAGCTTTAAATCTTTTGTTTTCCCACTGATGTAGATGGTTCATTCATCATAAACTAACTTGCACACATTAAAAAGTACTATAAATGCATGGAAGTAACTGAACAGCTTATAGAGAAAGACTGAATGAAATAAAAATAGAAAAATATATAAAAGTATAAAATTATTGGTGGATATCTTACACCTACTGATGATTACTATATATAATAAGTTAAAATGCAAATAATCTCTTGATAATCACTGGAATGCAAAGGAAAGTTGCTAAACTGCTTATTGACAACAGCTGTAATTAATTTCGGTTAATTTTTTTACTTATTCATGCTAATTTTTACACTTAACCTCTTCAAAGTTATTTTTCTTACAAATAACATTTGTTATCAACCCACTTAAGATACTTTTGAACAGACTGAATGACCCAGCAACATCAATACCTCTTTAAATTTAATGCTTCTCTGTTATTTGTTTGTTCAAACATTCATAAAGCTGGCCACTCAAGATTACTGTAATTTAAAATAAAAATCCACAAGCATATGCAAGCAATTGAAGTAACATTCAAAATCATACGACCTGTCTCTGCCTATTTGATGGTTGGTTGACTTTAAATGGCACAAAATCTTGAAGGTTAATATGCACCAGACGAATGGTAAATGAAATCCAAAATGCATAAACATATTATATGAGATCAACTGTTCAAATGAACCTGTAATGTTGATGAAGGCATGGAGAAATGACTTTGAGAAATGCTCTAGCAACATGTACAGCAGGATAAAAAGAAAAAAATTCAAAGCATATGATAACAAGAGATGTCTTTTGTGATTGACTGAAACGGGAACGTTGCAAGTGCCACAAATAGGCTCATTATCTCTTTTCAAAAAATACTGATATGTTAGTCTGCAGTGACCAAGTCGTAAGCGAGTCAGCAGTATATCCTCCTTTCGATTCCCTCTCAACTCTCAATACTCCTAATTGGGTTTTACCTGCCTTAATTTGTTCAATATCTGGCATTCCCAGAGTTCTTGGCAGCTAGACAAGACTTTTGCTCTGATGTAATTCCGTATATCTGTAAAAGGGATATAATTTTCAGAGAGGTAATATCAGCAGATTTTGATGCGATATTGGTGAGGTTCATTGCTTTTGATGCCAGCATGTCCAGGCACTTAGCAGTATAAACCCGTGTTTCTCAAGGTGTGCCTTTAAAATTTCTAAGACCAAAGGGTGGCTAGTATTTGTATTTATTGATTCAAGAGCAATCCGAGAGTCAGAGTAGATGCTGAACTTTATTCTGCTTAGAGATAAAGATTAAGGAATTCAAAATGGCAAACATTTCTGCAATAAAATATTCACTTCTTGCCAGGGAGCAATACCTAAAAAATTAAAGCTTTTGGAATGCAGATCTTTTAGGCTGAATTCTTCAATCAGTGAGTGAATGCGAAGATCAAAAGGTGGGATACATGAAGAATGTCCTTGGTAGATATGCCAGTACTGATCAGATGTCATGAGTCGGGCAGGATGTTCGGCTTGTGACATTATAATTTATAATGACTTTATAATGAAGATCAATGGACAACTGCTTGCATCTGAATTTCAGATATGGTTCAAAACAGATGACAAACTTTGGACTGGAGATGTTCTGAAAGCTCCACAGCAAATCTGCAGCACTTGATGGTGGACTTATAGACCAATGGGGAGCATAGAACAATGTTCTGCTCGTCATGAAGTATTGGCCAGGACTTTCAGCATGTTGAGAGCTTTAGCACAGTTTTTCTTTTGGTAAGATATGCAGAAGGAAAGTGAGCTTTCCGTCAAATATAACTCCTAAGAATTTTGCTTCTGGCTCAACGCAGATCAAAGAGCCGTCAAAATGCAGCTCTGGATCAGGATATAGATTTCTTTGCAACAGAAATGCACACAGATGGTCTTCTGGCTAGAAAATTTAAAAATATTGTTGTTGGACCACTTTATGATTCTGTTTAGTGCAATTTGCAGTTGTATATATCTCATATCTTGACCATGACAATAGATCATCAAATCATCAACATACAGGGAACCATGCACTGTGGCAGGAAATACTCTTAAAATGGAATTAATTTTCAGGCTGAAAAGAGTGACACTGAGCACTGAACTTGGGGTACAACTTCTTGTTGTACAAATACTTGAGAAAGCATTGAACCAATCTTAACTTGGAAAGTGCGGTCCTTCAGAAAGTTTTGAATGAAGATGGGTAAATTACCTCACAAGCGAGTGCTGTACAGGTCATGAAGAGTTCCATGCTGCCAAGTTCTATCGTAAGCCTTTTCCATGTCAGAGAAGATTGAGACCACCGATTTCTTTTCACAAATGCACTGCATACTGCAGTTTTTTAAAACAGGGCATTGCCAAGTGGAGATCTACCCTTACAGAAACCACTTTGGTAAGGCGATAGGCAATGATTAGTCTCCAGATAGTAGATGAGATGGTAATTTATCATTTTTTCCATGATCTTGCAAAGGCAGCTAGTAATTGCGATGGGGCGATAATTTAAAGGATTTTTCAGGTTCTTGCCGGATTTTGCTATAGGTATTACAAAGGCCCTGTACCAGTTGGAAAATTTGTTCCTTCCATATCTTATTATAAAGAGCGAGAAAGACCAGTAGAGATTCATAGGGCAGATGCTTTATCATCAAATAACTTATGCCATCAGGACCAGGGCAGGTCCTATCGGTGCGAGAGATTATACTTCTTAATTCAAACATGGCAAGATCTTTATTATAAGATTCTGCATTAGAATGGGAAAAGCCGATCTGAATCTAAGTGCAT